ATCTAATGTCCCGAATATGGAGATAGAATTGTTGCTTAATTCCAAATAAATGGATTATGATCCACAAATAAATGTAAAGAGATTAACAAAAATGTTATATTACATACCCTTATATGACCTATTTGAGCCAATGCAGATGAATGAAGATATCTCAGGACGAGACCGCCCTGATTGTAAAGCTAAACGTGATTGGCTATAGCGAGATCATGCTATGATTGGTCAGCGAAATGTGGCTGTTATCTGATTGGCTTGAGTAGACGGTGGGTGGAGTCCACTTATTTGTGGATTGTCAGCACGTCTTGACGCGAGAAATGTTTCACAATTCGCAAATGCACAGGATGCGATTCATAAACGCGTGCAGCTATCTACAAATGCACAGGACGTGATTCACAAATAAATGCCAGGCAAAGTTGTGGTTGTGATGTAAATATATATTTGTGAATATGTTTTTTTTATTTGCAAATCTCATTTTATTTTTTTGCGAATTCAATTTCGTGTTTGTGAAACTTTAAGATTTATTTGTGGATTTCATTCTATTTATTTATCAATATGTTTAATGTTTGTTAAAGTCACCATGAAATCAAAGTTGAAAAATCTTATTTTTTTTAATGGAATACTGTAGTGTTTATTATAAATTATTTATCCGTGCACTTCATTATTATTATTTTTTTATTTCTGTGCCCTCGTAATCATAAACGTTAACCTCCCCTCCCCCTCAAAACTACTCGTCTTCTCTTCCGGTCACGAGCTATGGCGCAAGGGCGGAGCTAGTGACGTGAGGGGTAAACGCTGGGATAAACGACAGGGGGAAAAGCTGAAGCTGATGCTTCACATAATAGCACTGACACCAGTCATGAAGGAGTACGTTACCCCTAAACATTGAAAAGATATTACGACAACATTACTCTTAGGACATCGCAAACTAATTTTTTTCATGAATGACTTAACCTGATGGAGGACGCGCTCAGTCATTCAGGCAGTCTCTCTCTCTCTGTACTGTTGATCGTCGTCATCATCCTTAATAAATAAAACATTTATTCATGCTTGGGTGTCGGCTGTGAATCCAGTGGAGAGAAATCCCCCACCACTAACTGCAAACTGGCATTCAGATCTGCCTCCATTTTGTTAGCAACGCCCCAGCTTCCAACGATCCAATCAATTCCCGAAGGACGAAATCAAGTCCCGCCCTCTCATTTCAGAAGCCGTTTCACTCAGATATACGTCACATTAGAGAAGACAATCACAACTTCCGTTTCATGCCGACTAGACGGTGCGTTCCAAACGGGATATATTGCCCTCCGAAGGGCACTTCAGAGTGAAAACAATCATGGCCGCCGTATTGAAGGGTCGTTGAAACTTTAAGATTTATTTGTGGATTTCATTCTATTTATTTATCAATATGTTTAATGTTTGTTAAAGTCACCATGAAATCAAAGTTGAAAAATCTTATTTTTTTTAATGGAATACTGTAGTGTTTATTATAAATTATTTATCCGTGCACTTCATTATTATTTTTTTTTTATTTCTGTGCCCTCGTAATCATAAACGTTAACCTCCCCTCCCCCTCAAAACTACTCGTCTTCTCTTCCGGTCACGAGCTATGGCGCAAGGGCGGAGCTAGTGACGTGAGGGGTAAACGCTGGGATAAACGACAGGGGGAAAAGCTGAAGCTGATGCTTCACATAATAGCACTGACACCAGTCATGAAGGAGTACGTTACCCCTAAACATTGAAAAGATATTACGACAACATTACTCTTAGGACATCGCAAACTAATTTTTTTCATGAATGACTTAACCTGATGGAGGACGCGCTCAGTCATTCAGGCAGTCTCTCTCTCTCTGTACTGTTGATCGTCGTCATCATCCTTAATAAATAAAACATTTATTCATGCTTGGGTGTCGGCTGTGAATCCAGTGGAGAGAAATCCCCCACCACTAACTGCAAACTGGCATTCAGATCTGCCTCCATTTTGTTAGCAACGCCCCAGCTTCCAACGATCCAATCAATTCCCGAAGGACGAAATCAAGTCCCGCCCTCTCATTTCAGAAGCCGTTTCACTCAGATATACGTCACATTAGAGAAGACAATCACAACTTCCGTTTCATGCCGACTAGACGGTGCGTTCCAAACGGGATATATTGCCCTCCGAAGGGCACTTCAGAGTGAAAACAATCATGGCCGCCGTATTGAAGGGTCGTTCCAAACCGAAGTGCTCAAAACTGGCCACTTCAAAGGGCCCTTCGCAATGAAGGATTTCGAAGGGTACAACTGATGGACACGTCGGGCTCCCATGATCCTTTACGCAGATTCTTTGCATGATGACGGCACCTCCGTGGGGGCACGTGATGACGACGCAGAAGGGCATTTGTTTGGTCCCCTACACCCTACAACCCTTCGAAGCTCTCACTCCGGAGGGTAAACCCTTTGAAGGGATTAGGGCATAGGGATGAGCGCTTCCGAATGGAACGCAGGGTTAATCTCTTTACATTTATTTGTGGATCATAATCTATTTATTTGGAATTATGCAACAATTTTATCTCCATACCCGAACGCCTTTCACGCTGGCCCCGGGTCATCGGGCAGTCCTTATTGTTGAGCCCTGGACTTGCCTACTCTTCTGCTACACACTCCAAAGTATGTACTTTTTACTTCCCAAAAGACTCCATACTTTTAAAGAATAGTGAAAGTAGGCAAACTGTGACGCAGTAACGGGGGCTGCTTGGAAAATAGTATCTGCTGCTAGATTAGTTTACGATACGAGTAAATATTGTGGCTGTTTAATATAGACTAAAAAAATGTTTCCTTGGAAAACATTACCACCCTCATGTCATTTCAAAATATCATACCAAGTAAACAAACAGAAAAGTTTGTACCTTCATCAGAACAGATTTGGAGAAATGTAGTAGGGGTGCTCCGATTGATCGGCTACCGATCACTATTGGCAGATAATCACGTTGGGATGATTGATCGGCGGTCTCTAAAAGGCCGATCTCAAAAAAACTATCTCAAGCTGATGACGCTGCCCTGAGAAGGTTTGGCACAACATGCATACTTGCAATATATCCCTTATATATGTACATGCAACTTAATATACAGCCCTCTACATTGAGAGTAAATCACTCGCATTTGCGACTAACTCTTCACTCTGGGCGACTAAATGATGTCTAATATTAGCCAATTGCTAATAAATTTTCAGATTTGACTCGCCAGTGTGTGATTTGGAGGCTAAGTATAAGTTTAGCTCAGATATAGTTTCACTCTCCGCCAAGCGATCTGTGCTGTTTTTCAGTTCATCTGAATGGATGTGCAACGCACCTGTATTTATCGTACCGTAAACTCTAGTGTGAAGGCGCACGACTCGCCGTCGCTTTGTTTCACACACACGGAGAGAGAGAATTGACGCGCTACATGTAAACGATATTCTTTGTTGTATTTTGCTGTCAAAATAACAAAGTTCCTTTGGAATTCTTAAGCTTTTAAGAACTACCGCTTTCTCCGCTAGTGGGCGGAGCTAATGCGCAAACGGCAATCTCATTGGCTGGCGCTCGCCTATTATCGTCCCCGTTTTGATTTCAGCAAATCAGTTCGAGCGAACGCACACAACCTGATTAATATTCACGAATCCAGTAGCTCATTAATCCTTAGTGCGTTTTATATCGTTCTAGTAGAATTCGTATCATTATCATCTTATCAGTATTTTTGTTAGTTTTTCCCCCAATTTTTTTTTTTTTTACAGAAACACTGAATGACCAAAAAAGCACCACCACCAGTCCGAAGTTCAGTTAAAATGAGTAATATGCATTCATACACGGATATCAAGATTTAATTCTAATTACTAAAGTTCTATCATTAAATAATATTGATTATCATATTATAATGCTTGACTGACTGATGTTAAGAGTGTACTTTTAGATATTTATAAAACTGTGCCATTTTACACACACACATACATGTAAGTATGTATGCATATATATACAGTATATATATATATAAAATCAGTCTGGCGAGTAAACTAAAAAATGTACTAGCCAATGGCGATTCAATTGCCAAGGTGTCCGTAGAGGGCTGATATATAAATCTAGAAGTAAATGCAAAAGTAAAAAGCATCGAATAATGTGTTGCTTATATTTATTGTGTTTAAACATGTCTGTGAAAGATTGTATTACTGTACTGTGTAAAAAAAGATTTGCAATGCTGAAAAAGCATTTCCAGTAACAATGTTTGGCTTTGAAATTAAAATAATGGATCAATGTTGTGTTTGTGGTAAACAGCCGCGGATCAGTAGCTGCTTCCTCTCACAAGATTCAGCTAAGAGGGGAATTCCCCCAGTTTTCAAAAATAAAATTCAGGCCCTGACTAAATGTCTAAAAATCCTGATTGGAGTATTACAATAAATAGTTATAAATTATAAAAAGAAGGCTTTAAAAGATCGGTATCAGCAGATACTGCTTTCTGCGATGGGCCTCAAAAACCCTAAAATGTAGCATTATATCACTTGCTCACTAATAGAGCCTCTGCAGTGAAAGGGTCTTGTCAGAATGTCCAAAAAAGCAGTTTAATAAATAAAATCACAATAATCCAAACTCCAGTCCATCAATTAACGTCTTTTGAAGTGAAAAGCTGCATGTTTTGTACTAGGTGTTTTTACTTGAAACCATTTCTCACATTGTTGCCAGAAACAACGTATTAAAGATTTTGCTTGATGGAATTATTTCATAACAAAAACACAGTTTTCCACTTCATAAGACGTTAACTGATGGACAGGAGCTGTGTGGATTATTGTGATGGTTTTATCAGCTGTTTGGCCTCTCATTCTGACGGCACCCATTCACTGCAGAGGATCCATTTGTGAGAAACCGTTCATATATGTTAATAAGAAATATGTTAATTATACTGTACTATCGTGAGCTATGCAAGCTGGAGATATAATGTGCCGCATATGAAGCTACTGTATTAATACAATAACATTAACAATAAACCATGCCACAGAAGCTTGCCTGCAGAGACATCGACGAAAAGTCGGGCTTTTCATCCGCCACCGATGCACTGGCTTCGCTAACCTGAGGTGCTGGAGCGGGGGTCTTCACTGCAGCTGAGGAAGATGAAGAAGGCTCGGGAGCTGGAGGCTTCACTTCTGGCGGCGGAGGCTGAGGCTGAGGCGGGCCAGCAGGACCTCTCACAGCTGACGGGTCTGGAAAGCTGTTGGGGCCTGTCTGCCAGTACGGAGGAGGCCCGCCGCCGCTGCTGGCGTTGCCGGAGTGATGCAGCACCGACTGCAGCTGCTTCTGATGGAGCTGCTGCAACTGCTGCATTTGCTGTAAATGCTGTTCTTGTAAACTAGAGAAATTTGACGACGCTGGATGAGACGGAGCGCCATATTCTCCAAATCCTCCTCCTGCTGCTGCTGCTGGAGGCTGAGCTCCCCTAAACTGATGAGGCCGCGGGCCGAAGTGTGGAGGAGGCTGGTGTCCACCTCCGTAAGCGCCCCAGGAGGGATGCATGCTTGAACCGAGACACCGCGGGCCAGGCAAGGCCTAGCCGCCTGATCGCATAAAGCCGGTTACTTTGTAACTTTCGCTACTACTGTTTGCAAATATGATCGCAGTTATTAGCACCGGTTCCAACTATCATACGAAAGTTTTAAAAAATTAATCTATCTTTACAGATGTGCAAAAAAACAAGTCGTTTAAATTCATAATTATTGTTTGAATGCTGTTTCCTCGACGAGCGTGTCTGCGTGCGTGCGTGCGTGCGTGCGTGCCCAACTGCGCCTACGTCTGAGCGTCACCCTGACGCTCCTTTGCGTAAGACGTCATCGCATATCTTTTACGCTTCCGCACGAAAGGCAGGCGCATTAGCACCACCTGTCGCACTGGTTCGGCGATTCAATATATAGATATGATAAAGGATATAACAGTATATTAGAAAATATACCGAATAATATGCTGTGTAAATATATTACAATATATTGAATAATACATAAGGAATTGACGCTTTCATATATTGACAAATATGTGGCAATATATAATACAATGTATGTAATTTTTTATTCAGTAATACACATTATAATATATAGATCTGCATAGGCTATAATAAGATAGGGTGCAACAGGTGTATAAATATATTGAACATTACTCATGCAGAATATACATTTGCATTACATTTATATACACATATGGAAATATGTATTTCTTATATTTAACAATCCTTTACAATATATGTGTTTCATAATTGAATATATAGCCTAGCTAGTTTACAATAGCATAAGGGCACGTGCTCATACTAAAACTTACACATATACCCTTTTAAATTTCAAAATAATACAACATAAAAAAAAACACTAACAGATCTCCCCTTATAATAATACTGAGCAAAAACACATTAAGTGTGTGTGTGTGTGTGTGTGCGTGTGTGCGTGCGTGTGTGTGTGCGTTTTTGTGACAAATGAGGACATAAATTTGTATAATGACAAGGGTATGACAGGTATTACAAGGAGAAGGTGACTTTTCAGGACATTACCTCATGTCCCCACTTTTCAAAACACTTATAAATCACACAGAAGGGAGTGTATTGAAAATCTGAAATAGCACAAAGTTTCCTGTAAGGGGTAGGTTTAGGGGTAGGGTTGGTGTAGGGCAATAGAAAATACGGTCTGAATATACTTTTCACAAAAACAAACCTGTGTGTGTGTGTGTATACATTCACATTTATATGGGAACATATATGTGCAATACTCAATAAAGGATCAAACTTTATGAATATTAGATTATTTTAGATGTATTTTATCTTCATTTCTAAATACAGTACATTTGTATGTATCAATATATCACCATATTGTCAATGCATATATTGCTGTATATTGAAAAATATAAGCACTGTAGTTTCACATATATGGTAATGTATAATGTAATAGATATCGCATTATATTTTGCAGTATATTCGCATATATTTTTTGTTACGCTATGTAAGAGACTACAAAAACAAAACCAGTCCAAAGAATTGCAACTTTTGTGAGATGGTGTTAAAATAATGCAAGCTGTACATTGGAATAAAAAAAATATCATGACAGTATCAAAATAATACATATACAAATATATAATACATTCCCTGACCAAAATTCCTGTGTACATGTGACAGACCCAAAACAAGTGAGCAGTATTTTCCATTAAAGGCACAATATGTAAGATTTTTTTATTAAAATATCCCAAAATCTCTTGAACAGTGTTATATATTTTGCTGACTTGTGTACTTACATTATCCCAAATGTTTCGAAGAATGTTTAAATCCAGAGAAATAAGCAATTTTAACTAGTGACACGGACCGTGTCCATAGTGTTATTGTGTCGCCTGCCAATGGCGCTATAACCCCTCGATTTCTGTTTCTTTTGTTTTCTAGAAAACATGGAAACACCAAAGATGCTTTAATGTGTTGTGCGTTTTATTTTACAGTTGACGACCGCACAGAGTAGCATTATAACAGAACTTTCAAATGTACCTAGTATGATAAAACAGCGCTGCTTTACCCCGCATACGCATGACCGGAAAGAGCGGAAACCGTCGACTGTGGCATAATAAAAGCTCCGCTGCTTTTGAGCCGTGTGTCACGCTCGTCTCTCATTAGCAATTGCTTCAGCGGCCTCGTTTCGCTTCGACGGCTTTCAGCCTCACTCTGCTTCATAATACGACGTTAATAAATCTTTAATACATTAGCTCATCCATGAACATGATTTCTGCCCGAGTACCGTCAGATTGCATCGGCTGTGGGGATGAAGACGACAACTCCCATGATTCCACACTCAGTCACGGCGTCATCAAACTACACCTTTATTTCTTTGCTTGTTTTGAAAACGCACCCTCTAGCGGCGAAAAATTACATATTGTGCCTTTACGGAACTGACAGAAAGAGCAATTTACTTCATAAAGAGAATCAAAGCCAGGCTATGATGCAGTGATGTAAACATGCTGGCACAGCAACCACAATACATTCGGTTTTCTTTTCCACCTGTATGTCTTATTGTCCTCTTGTAAAGGACACTCTGTATACCCAAAGTCCCTTTTAAGGTACGATCTGTGGTATACCACAGGAGATATATCCTGACATTGCAACAGCCTTGAAAAGTACTTTGAAATTAGTCCAGTGCAGGCTTCTTGTCTCAGAATGGAGGCATAGGTTCAAATCCCACTTCTGAGAAGACCCTTCTAGTGATTAGACAAAAAGTTAAAACTCAAAATAATGCAAACCAAAAGGCAGGCTCCACTGATAAGATGGCTCATCAAAAAAGCTGAATCAGTTTTCAGAATGTCTATGTGGTCTAAGGTGCCAGACTCAAGGATTTTCCAAATTTTCAGGACATGAGGTTTCTGGACTTTGATGGAGCTGTGGGTTCAAATCCCGGTCTTGACAGTTAGCTTTTAGAGTGACTAGATAAGAATGTACATGTATGCAAATTTATAACTTGCATGCGACACAGTACCCCAAGGTACGCTGATAGAACAGATCATCAAATAACTTGCATCAGGTGTCAGGATGGCCAAGTGGTAGAAGGTGCCAGACTCAAGGATTTCCAGGCTTTCAGGACATGAGGTTCCTGGTTTCTGAATGGTGAACTGGGGTGAAACCTCAGAGAATGTAAATGCATTAAGTGCTATCATTGCCATTCCATACTGAAGGCTTCACTGATTGGACTCATCAACATGTTAAGCACCAGACTCAAGGTGTTGCAACCTTCTCAGGTAATGAGCATTCTGGTCTCCGAATGGAGGAGTGAGTTCAAATCCCGCTTGTGATTTAAAAAAAAAGTAAATGCATTAAGTGCTATCATTTGCATTCTACATAGTGTCATAGTGAAGGCTCCACTGAAGTGATCATTAAAAGCAAGCTGCTAAGTGTCAAAATAATTTATTTATTTGCATTTTACATATTTGCATTGCCATAAGGCAGGCTCCACTGTTATGACTGATTAACAAGAAAGCAGCATTAGGTGTCAAAATGGCTACATTCAAGCGCTTTCAACCTTCTCAGGACATGAGGTTTTTGGTCTCTGAATGGAGGTATGAGTTCCCACTTCTGATTCCAAGTTATAGAGTCACTAGACATAAAAACATGCAGTAAGTGTCATATGCATACATGAAGGTTCCACTGAGGAGTGGTCATTAATTGCAGTCCGCTAAGTGTCAGAATAACAGTTTTAGAGTGACTTGACGTTAAGACTTAAAGAATGTAAATGCATTAAGTGCTATCACTTGCTTTCTACATAGAGTCAGATTTCAGGCTCCATTGATATGATAATTATCGTACTATTGTTCAGAATGACTGTTGAGTGTGTTAAGGTACCAGACTCAAGAAGTTCCATTGTTCCCATATGGTCTCTGTTCTCTGTTCAAATTGCACTTCTGACAAGAATCTTTTACAGTGACTAGAGAAGAAGACAAGAAAAAGTCAAAAGAAAGTTTGAAAAGTAAGCGCTGACATAAACAAAAATAAAAAAATCGCATGAAATGATGACTTCATCGGTTAGTTTCCAAACTAGAAAAAAAAAATTATTTTACTTTTAAATTCTTAAATACGTACAATTAAATGTGGCTCATGTAAATCAAGTAAATTTGCCTATGTACAGTACTTTGGCTTTAAGAAAAAAATTACATAGTGCCCATACTTTAACTTCATTTCATTGTACTTTTTACGCTTATTTTAACAACTGAAGCTGTTTCAAACCAATGCAGACACTGTGTTATTCAAAGTGGCATATACAGTATAAATTACATTGACAGTCAAGTGCTTTGCTCAAGAGGGAAAAAAAATCCAGTGACTCAGTTATAAGATCAAGTTAATAAATCACCCTCTCTGAGGACGCAATCGGCCACTTTTGAATTATTAGCCCAAATACTTAACCACTAAGTTAACTCATTAACCATAAAATTGAATCTAAATGTGCAGTTTTTTTACGAGCTTGATCCACTGATATCATGACTGTGTATTTGTGTTATGTTTTATGTTGCTTAAACAGAAGAACACAGTGCTAGTTATGCCAAGGTCATGAGTTTGATTCCCAGGAATTGCATGAATTGCTAAAACATATACTTTGAATGCAATGCATGTTGCATTGGATAAAATTGTCTGCAAAATGCATAAATGTAAGTTTCACTCTCATTATTTGCAGCTGCTGATATTATTCAATTGCATCTTGTTGCATGTTTGCTGAAACGCAGCCAAGCTACGTATATGGACAAAGACTGCAGTGCTACTATGTAATTGAGAGCTGGTGGTGTTGCCAAGCGACAAGTCGAATGCAGGTTTTGCTAATGGATGCATTAGTGTTTAATTATTGTATTCATGCTAAGAATTGAACATATACTTTGAATGCAATGCATGTTGCATTGGATAAAATTGTCTGCAAAATGCATAAATGTAAGTTTCACTCTCATTATTTGCAGCTGCTGATATTATTCAATTGCATCTTGTTGCATGTTTGCTGAAACGCAGCCAAGCTACGTATATGGACAAAGACTGCAGTGCTACTATGTAATTGAGAGCTGGTGGTGTTGCCAAGCGACAAGTCGAATGCAGAATTGCATGAGCTACAAGCAGGTCTATAAGCATGGATGAAGAAAACATAATTTCCCTTTCCTCTACATCTTGCTTTTGCATTATCTTCAACCATCCTTATCATCTTATTCAAGTTTTTGATCTTGGTCCTGCTCTTATGCCTATACTCACATATCCTCACCGGCCTCTTGTGCTCTTTGTGGGTCAATTAGAGTTTCTTTCACATATAATGTGTCCTTCAATCCCACACACACTTTCATTATATCAGCGTGTCTTTAACAAACAGCACAGTATATACCAGAAGTCCAAATACACTTTGATGTGTCCATTAAAATAAGACATAATTTAATGCTGAACAGCATACATGGATGGCTGTATAAACCAATAACACATTCACAAAAAATGATGTGCATAATTCTCTTTGCTCATAGTTTTATATTTTACACACCATAACATTTACACAAACTCCGTGTCTTATGTGTAATGCATCTCAGTCTGAAGGTAAGGCAGTCTGATCTCTAAAAGGCTATTGAGCAAGAAAATGTCATCTGAGCTGTGATAATACTGAGCCTTGGAGAATATCGTTGTGTGCCATGCACTCCTACACAACTGCGGTAGTGTGGTCGAGCACATGCTGTTCCCTACTAAACACACACTTAAAAACATACACACATATATAAACACACTCAAGCGCTCACAGATGCAGGCAAAGGTCACTGTGTTTAGTCTAAGAACGCTCTGTGCTTTTGCTCATTAACTCCAGCATGGCTATAATATGGAACATATAAATATATATATATATGTATGTATGTATGTATGTATGTATGTATATATATATATATATAGTGATGTTGCTAAAACGTCACCATTATTAATTATGTGGCCAATGAGCGATCACCCCGTTTAGGGTATATAAGTTGGTTGGTTCTGCCTCTTGCTGTGCGTCATGGTCGAAAGCCCGCCTCTTCCTTCCTGTTGTGGCCTTCCAAGGTAGGTGTTTTTAGCCATTTAGCTTAGCTGTCTGGTTGGCGTGTTATTTTAGTGATTTGTGCGATCTGTACCTCTCTAGTGTGTTGTTAGGCTGCTGAGATATACTGGGTGCGGTGCGTTGTTGGCTCTCAGGTAAGTTAATGACGTTTGGGAAGCTGGGGGAAATTGTGTTCAGCTTAATGAGTTTTTGTGTTTCAGTGTGGTGTGCCTTCATGGCTCCCATTGATTGTGGCCTTGCAGTGTAACGTAGCCCAGGTCGTAGCAC